TAATCATAATAATGGATTGTTTCCTGTGGTAGAATATCAGGATCTTCAAAGAAACAAAGACAAATCAGAATGCTTCTAAAGAGCACAAAACCTAGAAGGCAGTACCCTTAAAAATAAGAGGATTAGTGTGAGAGAGGGAGGTGAAAGGAGGGAGAAATATCCACAGCCCTCTTCTCTTTCTATAAATAGGGTATAAGAAATAAAGTGTCAGACTCCTATTTCATGCCATAGGCAAAATAGATTAAAGATTGAAATGTAATAGAAGAAAAATATTAGAAGAAAAAGTATCCATTTGGTAATGTCACAAAAGCACCAAAGAAATAGAAATAGATCTGATCTCATCAAAAGCTAAAATACTAGCAAGAGCTTTAAATATTCAATGAAAGATCAAGATGTATATATAGTAAAGTGTTTGTGTGGATCAAAAAGGCAAGCAATCCATCAGGAAAATAGAAAACTGAGTAGAACAGACAAGTCAACAGTAGCATAATATTAATAATAATAATAACAGAAGAGGGGGAGGAGTGGAGAAAAAATTCATAGCCTCACTAGTCTCAGGAAAATGCAATATTAAAAAGCCATTCTCCTACTTGACAGAGTGACATTATTTGCTGTTGTAGCACATGACATCCCTCAACAAATTCCTCTCACTATAATGTCACACTGGACAGTTTCACTGCTGTGAGCCTGGAGGTCCTGCACAGCTGTACTGGGTAGAAGGAAAACATACCCCCAAACCTTCGGGGCAACTTGTGGAAAAGGACACTGCTTAATCCTTCTCCCAGTTGCACATCATTCTAAAGCACTTGAACGGTAAGCCTCAACTAAACTAAGGAAATATCTGTAATACACTGTTAAGAGAATGGGTAAAAAGAAATCTTTATGTACTTGTCAGAAAATGATTTTTTAAAAAGTCAAAAACATACAGAATGTGCAGATCAAGAAAGTTAAGTCAGGAGTGGTTGTGCATACCTATAATCCTACTACTCAGGTGACAGAGCTGGAGGATCATAATTCAAGGCAGCCTAGGCAAAAAAGCCTGCTAGATTCTTATTTCCAAACTAACCAGCAAAAAAAAGCACAACTGGAGGTATGGTTCAAGTAGTAAGGGACTAGTTTAAAAAAATCTAAACTAAAGTATAAGAGACATATGAACTAAATGTAAACCAGATTGATTAATCAAAACAACTCATGGGGCTGGGGACACAGCATAGTGGTAGAGCACCAACCTAGCAAGTGCAGGGCCCTGAGTTCAAACCCCAGTACTGAAAAACAAAATAAAACATCCATGGAAAACCAAGGAAATGGAAATAAAGCCTATCATTCAGCTTAAAAAGCAAATAAATCAGAAAAATACTAAACTGCAATATGTTGTGACACAGGAAATGGCAGTACCTGCTAATAAGCAGAGATGAGAACTGGCAGACACTGAAATAGCTACAAAAGTGACTGAAGACATCCATCTCCCCTGAGTATGTACAGAGACTGATCTGAGTTGACCGGATGGATGCAGATCAATAGGAGCTTTGTGTCCTGCTATGAGAAGACCCAGAAATTGATCCAACATCTGCTGTCATTGCTGTACAGCACACACCATCCTCAGGGTAGTTGACAGCAATGGCTATGAAGAGAATTTCAATTGGAACTTTTCCTTCCTGAGGTCCTCTATATGCTGAATGCCCATCTTCCTTATTACCCTATTTATTCACCCTCACCAATTCTCTTCTTTCACAACTCCGAAGAAGCAATAATCTCTAGTTCCATTCCACTCCCAAGGAGGCAAGAACTATGCTAAAGGCCACTGTTTTGGAGCAAGTCTTCACCGCCTCCCTCACCCCCAAAGCAGCTGTGGCCTCTACCAGTGACCATTCTATCCAAGCCTTGCTCTACAACTGAGCCATGATGTGTTGTTTTATTCTTGCTTATCAGGGATGAAATGATGGATGGATAAACAGGGTAACTTTCAAAGGCTGATGGATGTGGAGGGTCAAGCTGCCCGGACAGCTCCCTCAGCTCTACTCCCTCCCACCCAGGACTTGATGGACTTGGCAGCGAGAGAGGTGAACTCCAGTACCCGGTGCCATCACTTTCACATTGAAAGGTTGCCAGCCTCTCATCTCCAGGTCAGAATTTTTTTCTTTTCCTTTCGTGTGTGTGTGTGTGCGCGCGCGTGCGTGCGTGCGCGTGCACACATACGCAAGTTGGTTCTGAGCTTGAACTCAGGGCCTAGGTGCTATTCCTGAGCTTTTATTCCCCAAGGCTAGTGCTCTATTATTTGCACCACAGCTCTACTTCTGGCTTTTGGGCAGTTAATTGGAGATGAGAGTCTCTCAGACTTTCCTACTCAGGCTGGCTCTTTGAACCATGATTCTCAGATCTCAGCCTTCTTAGTAACTAGGATTACAGGCATAAGCCACCAGCACCCAGGAGTGACTTTTACCAGCAGATGCAGTAAATGAGCAGTGCTTTTGTAAATATGTTCAAAATATAGTTTATGGTCTTGTTTTTATGGTATCTAAAACAAGGTGTAAATAAAATATTATAGTATGATCTCAGTTATGTAACTTACGAGTGTCAAGAACTTAATTTGATAGTCGAATGATTAATGTAATTAATTCTTAAAAGATAGCCTCTGAAAAATTAAAAAAAAATTAAGACAGTCTGGTGGGCATCAGTAGCTCACATCTGATCTAAAACCCTAGCTAATCAGGAAGCTGAGATCTGAGGATCATGGTTTGAAGCCAGCCAGGGCAGGAATGTCTGAAACTCTTATCTCCAATTAATCACAGAAAAAGCTGGAAGTGACACTGTGGCTCAAGTGGTAGAGTGCTAGCTCACTGTGAGCTCAGGGACAACACCCCACCCCAGAGTTGGAGCCCCAGGACTGGCCAAAAAAAAGACAGTTTCTGTACCCTAGCCTGGCCTTAAACTTGGGATTCTCCTGCCTCAGCATCCCAAAGCTATACCAGCAAACTGAGAGATAGGGTGTTAAAAAATAGTTCAAGGGGTCTGAGGCATGGCTCAGATGGTAGAGCACCAGTCAATGAGCAAAAGCATCAGATACCAAGTTAAAATCCAAGTTAAAACAAAAAAAAATAGTTTGATACTTGGGCATTTGCTTCAGTATTGCAGAGGCAGGCTACATGTAAATAAAAACAACTGAAGCCACATGTTGTTTGGGAAGGTGTTATTACTTTCTATGATTTCATATGTCTGAAAATTTCCAATAAGTCATAAAAAGAAGACTTAATACAAAGATGCTTGCTCAAAAAACTGAATAACAAATGAGGAGATTCAGTTAAACAGTCTTGAATACCTTCAAACAGTTGACTACATTTCTCCTTTGGCCCCAAGACCTTTGAAATGATGGATTTCAAACTAGATGGATATAAGCATACTATGTTGAAAATTCAACTTCTGGGTGGGTACAGGAGGGAAAAACTAGGAGAAGGCAAGGGAAGGGATGACATTGTCCAAAAAGAAATGTACTCAGCTGGGCACCTGTGGCTCATGCCTGTAATCCTAACTACTCAGGAGGATGAGATTTGAGGACTGTGGTTCAATGCCAGCCCTGGCAGGAAAGTCCATGAGATGCTTATCTCCAATTAACCACCAGAAAACAGAAGTGGCGCTGTGACTCAAAGTGGTAAAGTGAGCAAAAAAAACTCAGGGACAGTGTCCAAGCCTGATTTCAAGCCCCAAAATGACCTCCCCCCAAAAAAAAGTAAAGAAAAGAAACGTACTCTTTACCTGACTTATGTAGCTGTAACCACTCTGTATATCACCTTTATAGTAACAATTTTTAGGAAGTGGGAAAAATACGGAACTCACTGGAGAATTAGGGTGACACAGAACAGAAAGGCCTGTAAGGTGGTTACGAACTTGGGAAACAACGGCTAAACATGAATCTTCCCCTTAGGACTATGAAGTCATTGGTGTACATGGAAGATGATCCAGGGTTGTGGGGAGAATTAAAGCTTTCTTGAACGCTGATGACAGCTGTCTTACCTTTTCCTTGAAGGCAAGATTCATGAACTTCAATGTGAGATGAAATTAATTTTTCAATTATAGCAACATCCTAGTTAACAAACAAACATAGTCCCTTTGAGCTGTACGGCAAAAAAGGAACACAAGACTACAATTTAAGACCAAATCCCCTGTTGTCATAGGAGGCAAGATCTGGGTACTTTTCATTTACTTAAAATGTTTAAAAGGATTCAATCACTACCTTCACAGAACAAGTTTTAATTAAACCTTAAAATGGAATTGACTAGTCACACTGCCATAAGAAATATAAAATGAACCTCAGCAAATACTACACATATTTTCTTAGAGTAGGTAAAAAGATCTGATTTAAAAACCATATTTTGAGAAAAAGCGCTAATTAAAGCTAAACAGAGATCCTATCTATATTAATATTTCAAACATTCAATATTTAAGCTATGTAAGTGGAGCCAGTATAAACAAGGAAAACTTAAATTGAGACTTTCTGATGTATATGTTCATTGAGTATTAGTTTATTTTTTTAAATCCTTCTTGCTAGAGTTAAAAGAACAATTCTTCCTCTTCTACATTAAAAACAAAACATATTTCTTTGCCTAATTTTGCTGAGTTCAACTAAGGGTTTTGCTATATTGTACTAGTTTATCTTCTACTGGTCTTTTCTTTTTTTGGGTGGGGGAAGGTGGGGACAGTCCCAGGTTTTGGCCTCAGGGCCTTGTGCTTGCTAGGCAGGGGCTCTATCTCTTGGGCCACATCTCCAGCTTTTTAAATTATTTTTCATAGGGTCCCACGTTTTTGCACAGGGTTGGCCTGCACCATGGCTATCTATTATGACTCCTGTGTAGCTGTGATAATGGGCAAGAACCACCACATCTGGTCAGGAACTTCAATTCTTAACTAGCCCAACCACAGTGTTCCTTATATGAGGATAATATGTAAAATTCAACACAAAGAGAAAAATTCTCCCAAATACCAACAATGCAAGCAAAGTCTTAAAAAAAAAATCAGCTCTGTGTTTATTTGCCAGAATCAAAGTTAAGACTTGAAAATCCAACATCATATCTTATGAGACTTACAATTTCATTACATAATCCAGTTTTTTTAATGTTTTTTGTTTTTCCTGATTTGAGGTTGACAGTATTTTATATACTTTACTTATGAATGTTGAACATTTGATACTTATACATCTTTAGTTTTCTCAGAATTAATATTGAGTCCAAAAAAGTCTTTTTTGATAATGTACCGAACACACTGTAAAATCACATTTCTTTCATGTCGAATGTCTGGAGCTAGAAGCTAAAAAAAAAAAAAAAAATTAGCTGGTTAAAAATTATGTATGTCCACAAAAGGCAATCTAAAACATCATATGCCTAACTCATATAAAGAATACAGAACAATGTGTTACATACTTACTAATGTGTTATATTATATATTTACTAATTGCTAAATCAGTAAAATGTAATGCAAAGCCCTTTCCTTTGCCTTTTAACTTATACCAAGAGTACCTGGATAAGCTTTTTAAACAGCAAAAACATTCACATTTGTACTCCTCTCTAGGAATTATCTAACAAAAGACAAGATAGTAAATTTAAGTCTATAATTCTTTTTTTTTTTTTGGGTCGTTTATGGGGCTTGAACTCTGGAACTGGGTGCTGTCCCTCAGCTCTCCAGCTCAAGGCAAGCACTCTACCACTTGAGCCACAGCGCCACTTCCGTTTTCCAGTAGTTTACTGAAGATAAAGAGTTTCACGGCTTTTCTTGCCCAGGCTGGCTTGAACAGCGATCCTCAGATCTCAGCCTCCAGAACAGCTAGGATTACAGGTGTGAGCTACCGGTGCCTGGCTAAAATATGAAAACCTTTTCTGTATGCCAGTCATGGGCCTCGGCACTGTCCCTGAGCTTCTTTTGCTCAAGGCTAGTGCTCTACCACTTGAGCCACAGTGCCACTTCCGGCTTTTTCTGTTTATGTGGTACTGAGGAATTGAACCCAGGGCTTCATGCATGTTAGGCAAGCACTCTACCGCTAAGCCATATTCCCAGCCTGTAATTCTTTACTATAAAAATTATGTTTCTCCCCCAGTCAAGCACAGTGGCTCCTATCTGTTGTAGCCTCAGCTACTTGGGAGATGGGAGAAACACATGAGCCCAGTGTTCAGGGCCAACCTGGGCAACATAGCAAGACCATCTCTTATAAATAGATAATAAGAATAATAATAAGAGAATTCCCTCAAATAAAAATCTATACATAGTATAGAAACTCAAAGCATATTTGTTAAAAATAATTTATTTTCTTCTCAGTTTATTTTCTGACATCACTATTACAGTTTAGTATAAAAATGCAAATTACGATATATAGCAGTGATATTTTCAAAACAAGAGTATTATGATTCAGGTCCAGTATTTATAGAATAATTAAACTACGGCACATATACTTAAGTAAAAAAGACTTTTCAGGGAATGCCAGCTGTTTTGCCTCTGCACTGAGGAATATTTTTTTTTTTTGGTTGGTTGTGGAGCTTGAACTCAGAGCTTAAGCACTGTCCTTGAGCTCTTCAGTTCAAGGCAAGTGATCTACCACTTGAGTCATGGCATTACCTCCAGTTTTCTAGTGGTTAATTGGAGATAGAAGTCTCACAGACTTTCCTGCCTGAGCTGGCTTTGAACCTCTATCCTCAGACCTCAGCCTCCTGAGTAGTTAAGGATTACAGGTGTGAGCCATCAGTGCCCAGCTGCCCTGACCTCTTTTGCTTAAGGTTAGCACTCTACTTCTCTGAGCCATAGCTCTACTTCAGATTTCTGGTGGTTAACTGGAGATAAAGAGTCTCACAAACTTTCCTGTCCAGGCAGGCTTTGAACCGCAATCTTAGATCTCGGCCTGCGTAGCCTTTCATAAGCCATCAGCTCCCAGATCACAGTGGAATATTTCTATTACTTTTTTTGGGGGGGTCCGGTGGTGGGGCCTGAACTCTGGGCCTGGGCGCTGTCCC